GAAGTCTGGGTCCCCAGCCCAGCACCCCCTACAAGCCTGTTCCATGTGCCTGGTAGTGCTGCTGGCGGGGGCTCCGTTCTCTCAACCATGTTTCTGCAACCTCAACCTTGGGGCTAGATTTTTTTTTATATGTTTTTATTGCTTTCAGAGGGGAAGGGAGAGGGGGAGAGAGACAGAAACATCAGTGATGCGGAACTCGCAAGCGCTTTCCTTTTCCTCTTCTGGGGATGGTGACTTCGGCCATTCTCCGTGGCCCAGCGTTTGGCATACCGTCGGAGGCTGTCCTACAATGCAGCCTTTAACAACACTAGGCTGTCCCGAACCCCTGGCAATAGAATTGTTGGCCTCGATACCAAGAAGGTTAGGAAAGCACCGACATCTCCACGTGGCGTGTGCCCAGGCCGACTTTGCGGAGTTCGTGCTGTGAGACCTGAAGTTCTAATGAGCTTGTCTAAAACGAAGAAGCGTGTCAGCAGGGCCTCTGGTGGGTCCCTGTGTGCTAAGTGTGTCTGTGACAGGATCACGCGTGCTTTCCTTACTGAGGAGCAGAAAATCGTTGTGAAAGTGTTGAAGGCACAAGCACAGAGCCAGAAAGCTAAATAAATTTTAAAAAGAAGCTTTCTTTGAGTAATAAAAGCAATTAAAGGGCTAAAAGAAACATCAGTGATGATAGAGAGTCATTGATCAGCCTCCAGGCCCCCTACTGGGGATCGCGGCCGCAACCCAGGCCTGTGCCCTGACTGGGAATTGAACCGTGACCTCCTGGTTCATAGGTCAACTCTCAACCGCTGAGCCACGCCAGCTGAGTGGGCCAGGTGATTTTGTTGTGAGGCGCCCTCCTGTAGGTTGTAGAGATTTAGAAGCATCCCTGGCCTCTACCCACTAGATGCCAGTCGCAGCCAACCCCTCAGTTGTGGCAACCAGAAACCATTGGTGATAGATTAGGGAGGTGGGAGAAACCAGAGGAGCAAGTCTCTGGGATTGGATAAAAAGTAAACCAAATAGACTCGTCCTTCTTTTACATTTGTGGGTATAGTTGACATGATAATAACAATGAAGGAATTTGTGGTGGTCTGGGGGGGGGGGGTGACTGTGCTTTGAGAAGTGGGGTGGGGGAGAGGGGAGCGATGGTTTTGATATCCAAGGCTGTGTTGTCAGGTATGTTATTTTAGATGCAAAACGATGACCGGCTCAGTTAAGGTAAAGCTTGACCTTTGTTAGGGAAAAATACTGCCTTAGGACACAGCTACCCTCCATGAACTGCTTTTAGTTTAGACAGTTTTCGTTTCAGACCATCCTATGTGGTTACTTTTGGTCTCTGAGTTTGTAAAGCTGCCACGCAGGCCTCCCCTGAACTTGTCAGGTTTAGCAGGTGGTCCCTTTTTTGTCCACACATCCCCCTTTTGGTCATAAATCAATCCAAAGGACGCATTGATGACCAGCCTTTTGGTTGGATAACGTGGTCCCCCGGTGCTAGGAAGGCTCATTCTTAGGAAGTCTTAGTGTCAGCTTTTTCTCGCTGATCCATGGACCATTGGGGGTGGGACAAGACCGTAAACCTGAATGGAAGTCAAGGCTGAATTTTTCTCAAAAGTGAAAAGCAGATACAGTGGAACCTCGGTTCTCGAATTTAATTCATTCCAGAAGGCTGTTCAAGAAGCGATTGGTTCGGAAACCAATCATTTTTTCCCATTAGAAATAATGTAAATTAAATTAATCCTTTTTTTAAAATCCATTCCGGACCCCCAAATGATTCCCTGGGTTGTGTGTGTGTGTGTGTGTGTGTGTTTAATATTATTGATTTCAGAGAGGAAGGAAGAGGGAGAGAGACATTCCAGAAGGCTGTTCAAGAAGCGATTGGTTCAGAAACCAATCATTTTTCCCATTAGAAATAATGTAAATTAAATTAATCCTTTTTTTAAAATCCATTCCGGACCCCCAAATGATTCCCTGGGTTGTGTGTGTGTGTGTGTGTGTGTGTTTAATATTATTGATTTCAGAGAGGAAGGAAGAGGGAGAGAGAAGTAGAAACAACAATGATGAGAGAGAATAATTGATCAGCTGCCTCCTGCACGCCCCCCACTGGGGATCAAGCCCATAATCTGGGCATGGGCCCTGACCAGAATCGAACCGTGAGCTCCTGATTCATAGATCATTGCTCAATCCCTGTGCCACCTTGGTACTCTTGATGGCCTCTTTATGTTTTAAAATGTGCTAATCTTTGCCTTCCCCAGCCACAAAAGCATTCTCTCCTTTGCTTGTTGCTTAAGATAGGTTTTTTTGTCATGCTGAGGTATCAGCTTGAAAGGGTTGTCAATTCCAAAACCCAGAGTTTGGTTCCAAAACTGAGACATTTTTTCTGTGACAACTTGGTCAAGAACCGAATTGTTCGAGATGGGAGATTTTTGAGAAACGAGGTTCAACTATAAATGGGAGGCAGTCAGGTCCTATGGGCCTTCATTAAGAAAAACCGTACAGGCCATTTTTAACCTATAAGCGCTCTTGATCTGAGTTTTATTTGTCTCGCTTTTCTATATTTTGCATCTAGTATAACATTTATTTACGGTTTGAGGGCACACTATATACTTAGGTGCCCTGGGCCCCTTGGAGGGAAATTGTTTCTTAAAGGTGTCTCTGTACCGATTTGATCTCCCCTGCAAGATGACAAACCTCAGGGCAGGCACTGGGCCTTACTCATCTTTATAGCCTGTGTGGTGCCTGTAGGTACCGAGTCAATGTTTAAATGGACATGCGTGTACCTACCCCAAAACAACTTAGGTTGAGTGGACTCTCCTTCCCAAGTTGCCACCACAGGCCTCTTCTCCTAGGACAGAGTTACGAGAGGGGAAAAGAGAAGAGAGGAAGAGGTTTCCCTTCTCAGGGTTCTGGCGTGTCTCCAATACCTTGGAAACAAACTGGGTTGCGTTGGACCTTCACAGTCTCAGGAGGCATGGTGGACGCTGTTCTAGTGGCTCCTTGGCCGTTATCTATCGGGAGACCCTGGACAATCCACTTAATCTGCCTGGGACTCTGTTTCTCCTTCTGTAAAATCGGTTGCGCGAGATGATGATGTCCACAGCCCCAGGTTATGTCTTACTGTTCAGTGATGTTCTGTGAACCCGTGACCCAGCTCCGTGAACCCGTGCTACAGGTTTTACATGTTCCAGTCCACAGCGTGTGGCTGTGAATGAGGTGGTTTAAACTCTCCCTGACATTTCTGTTCCTTCTGCTTTTGCAGCCACTGTATACATCAGATTCTGGAGAGCGTTAACCACATCCACCAGCACGACATCGTCCACAGGGACCTGAAGGTACTGCTCCGGCTCCCCATTCGCTTCCTGCTTGTGAAGTGTTGTCGCCACCTGGTGCCGGATGGCGGTACTACGCGGACCCACCCAAACTGGGCTCCCTCTGGGCTGAGGGGTAGGTGCCTCGCCTCACAAGGTTCTGTCTTTTCCTGATGCAGCCCGAGAACCTGCTGCTGGCGAGTAAATGCAAGGGTGCCGCCGTCAAGCTGGCCGACTTTGGCCTGGCCATCGAAGTCCAGGGAGAGCAGCAGGCTTGGTTTGGTAAGAGTGACCCCGTCTTCCTGGAATGCAGCCCCCGCCCTTCCTCCTCTTCCTGATCTGCCTTCCTCCTCCAGAACTAGCAGCCAGACCCTTAATGGTCCTGGCCTCCTCGGGGACTGGAGGAGAGGGAGGGTGTAGAGCTCCCCGCTGGCCCTACATGACTCAGTGCAGTGAGCCTGGCTGTTGTCAGCACCGTGTTCTTGCTGCCTCTGGGGAGGACGCAAGTTCCTGGTAGGCACACAGACTTGCCCTCTGATTGAGATTCCGGGCACTACAAGAAGCCCAGCCTGTCACCTCTTCCTGCCCATGTCCTGGGAGCTTGGGTAGCAAAAGCGTCAGACGTGAGAAGGGACTCGGGGAAGATGGCTGATGGGGATCCAGTGACAGAGAAGGTGGGTTCAGTGTGCCTCCTCCCTCTCTCCTGCTACAGGTTTTGCTGGCACCCCGGGTTACTTGTCCCCTGAGGTCTTGAGGAAAGATCCCTATGGAAAACCTGTGGATATCTGGGCCTGCGGTAAGCCCATTCCACACGCGCAGCTTCTCGGTGGTAAGGGCCCCTGACCCGGAGCGAGGGCGAGAAAGAGGCATTGCTCTTCTCCGCGGGGCCCACAAGTGTCTGGTACATGTGAAATCACGGCGTGTGCTCTAGTGCCCCCGGGATGGCCGTTCCCACCACGCCCTGGTCCCAAGTACTTTCTGTTCTATTACAGCTCCTGGAAGAGGGATTTGCCCACGCCTTAGAGCAGTGGTTCTCAACCTTCCTAATGCCGAGATCCCCCAACCCTTTGCGGTCCAATGTTATTTTTGGAATTCAAACAGTCTGGTCCAAATTAATTGACGGGATTGAATGTTGAACTTTATAATGTTCTTATTGCTGGACGTTGGACCTGCTCCTAGCGCCTGGTCTGTCGAGTCAGCCTCGAGGTTGGACCGAAAAGGGTTAATACAGTTCCCCATGTTGTGGTGACCCCCAATTTCATTGTTACAAATTGAACAGAGTTAAAGCATAGTGATTAATCACAAAAACAATATGTAATTATATATGTGTTTTTCCGATGGTCTTAGGCGACCCCTGTGAAAGGGTCATTCGACCCCCAAAGGGGTCGCGACCCACAGGTGGAGAACCGCTGCCTTAGAGGATGTGCTGTTCCTCAAGAAATCCCTGGCGTGGCTTGGCGTCACGGGGCGTGAAGCATAGCAGGAAGGGCTGGAGGCCCGGCACCGTTGGCCAGGATCCACTTCTCCCTCTGCTGTGGCCCTTGACTCTCTGGGTGGCTCTGAGTCCTGTGTGGGTTTTCCTCAGCAAAGAGAGCGACTCACCCCAGCGGCCTGTGCTCTGTCTCGTAGGAGTCATCCTGTATATACTCCTGGTGGGATACCCTCCCTTCTGGGATGAGGATCAACACAAGCTGTATCAGCAGATCAAGGCCGGAGCCTATGACGTAAGGACCCATTTGTTCCTACCCTGTGGTCTCTTCCAAGGGAGGGGGCAGGGTGCCAGGAGGGGCCGGGGGCTTGGAGGACTCAGGGACTGGCATACAGGTCCCCATTCTTGCCACCCACTGTCCCAGGGAGTGACTTTTCTGCAGCCATTCTTGGTGTCTGTAAAACCAAGGAGCCGGCTGAAACCCTTGGGCGTGGAGGGGTGGTGCCGTCTAACACAGGGACAGGAGTCTGGCACTTCCTCCGCTGCGGTGGGGCCTGGGGCACGTTGCTGAATCACTGCTTCCTCCCAGTAGATGGGCAGGGTTGAACCAGAAGATGTTGGAGTCCCTTTCCTGCTCTGAGCTCGTATTCTAACCATGATTGCTGGCTTCCTGTGCTGACACAGGTGCTGGGATACCCCAGGGCTTCCCTAACTCCTTCCCGGGCAGCTTTAGGCAGCACACACTACCCCTCTGATGAAGATAGAGCCTACCTTTCAGGGTGTGAGGCTCGCCAATTTCATATCCCTCCTGCCCCTTCTTCTCCTCAGTTCCCCTCACCAGAGTGGGACACGGTGACCCCTGAGGCCAAGAACCTGATCAACCAGATGCTGACCATAAACCCCGCAAAACGCATCACAGCCGACCAGGCTCTCAAGCACCCATGGGTCTGCGTAAGTGTCTTCACCCAGGATGGAGGGGATCGGTGTGCCCTCGCACCCTCCTCGCCCTTTTTATGAACGAGCAGAGAATAATTATTCTGGGCCCTGAGCAAGGACTCAGCAGAGAGGGAGGGGCCCGGAGTCCGTAAACATCGCGTGGAGGGATTCGGGGAGGCATATGGGGCTAATTGGCCTCTGTCTGTCTCTGTCCCATTCACTTGTCAGGTGTGAGTTGGTTCTGATCTTGAATGAGGGCTTTTCTGCAGACTCTACGTCGGTGGTTCTCAACCTTGGCTGCACATTAGAATCACCTGGGAATCTTTTTAAAATCCTGATTTGTGGGCCTCATCCTCCGGAAATTCTGTTTCTTTGTTATGGGGTGGGGCCACAACATTAGTAACAAAGAAACAGAATTTCCGGAAGATGAGGACCAGAAATCAGGATTTTAAAAAGATTCCCAGGTGATTCTAATGTGCAGCCAAGGTTGAGAACCGCTGTTCTAGGTAGTTGATGAGAGAAAGCAGCTGGTACAGCCCAAAGTGAATTGCCAAACTTACGGTGCATATTCCAACTCTAGCTCTCATACAAACTCTAATGGAAATGTAACCAAGACTCAGCAGTAACAAAGGGGGGCTCTGAACAATTAAAAAGAGCACCCTGAATTCAGTCACAAAGCTCACCCTAGGAGAGCCCTGGGGGCTCGCAGTGTGGGTGAGCATACTCTCGTTTCCACACACAGTCCTAGCAAGCTGAAATCAGCAGTTCAAGCAAAGCAGAGGGTCTGCTACAGCTAGGCCATCTGACAGCCGTAATGCATTTATTTATCATTCCTGTGTTTTTTGATTGCCTCTTGGGTGCTGGTCACCATGTGGCTGCTGGAGATACGAAGATGAATGAGGCATGGTCCTTCCCCCAAAGATCGCAAAGATTATCCAGGGAGATGGGCACTCAAATACACAACCACTCTGTGATGTGACAAGTACATAAAAGAATCTACTGAGTGCTTAGGTGCACCTGCAGTCTCTGAGGGAGGTAGGATTACTGAGGGCTGCATGGAGGAGGTGACCAGGAGTTCCTCGGCATGATAACCTGCAGACAGGTTAGCTTGGGCCAGGGTGAGAGGCCACAGGAAATGGTAGTGGGTTTAAGGAATGTTAGTTTGCAAGAGAATGAAGCCCATACAAGTTTCTGCCCAAGGAGTTTAGATTTTATTCTGAAAACATGGGGAACCGTTTGTAATTAGGAAAAACCACTTTGGAGGCTGTGTAGAGAATGGATGGAAAAGGAAAGGCTGGGGGCAGAGAGCTCGGGGCGCTTGTCATTGTCTCGACAAAACCAGGTGAGGTCTCGGCTAAGGATAATGATACAGTGGGCAGTGAGGCAAGAAGAGGACAACTTTGAGATATTTGGGAAACAGAAAGCATCGAAAGAATTGAGTAACTAGTTGGATTTGGGGAGAAGAGAGAGGGCTCTATGGGGACTGCCAGGTGTTGAGTTGATAACTGATGGAAGGTGGTACTATTCATTGACCCAGAAGAAACCCAGGAGAGAAGCCAGTTTGTGAGAAAATATGCTGATTTTAGTTTTGCACATATGAGTACGGTGTTCGAGGGCCTCCGGCTGGCGATGTTCCGAGGGTGGTTAGAAACACGGTTCCAGAGACTGGAAAAGTGAAAAGTTGGAAATGCAGGTTGTAGTCGTTTTTGTATAGGTGCTGTTGAGGCTGTGGAAATGGGTGGGGTTGCTTCTTTGCTAGTTGACTTTTCACTGTGGGCTTGTATAAGAGAAGAGATGGCCACTGAACATGCATGTCGCACCAGAGTTAGAGGAGCCTGCAGGGGGACTGAGAATGAGAACTGCCAAGTAGGAGGAGCAGCAGGAGCAGGAGACCCTAGGGGCAGGAGGTTTTAGTAAGGGAGGGTCTGTAAGCACATGCTTTTGAGCAGCGGTCGCCAACATTTCAGGCCTCACGGACCGCTGGTTGGCAACCGCTGCTCTAGAGAGTCCAATCAAGACAGAAAAGAATCCATTGGTTCTGACCGATTAGAGGCCATTGTTTCATTGTGTTGCTGATGGAGGCAGGGGAGTGGGATAGACCTGTGTAGCCTGTTTTCTGTGAGGTGAAGAGCGAATGGGGCTAAAGGGAGAAAGAAGTGGTACTACTTAGAAAAGACAGATGAGTTAGGCCAGGGGTCCTCAAACTACGGCCCGCGGGCCACATGCAAATACAAATATTGTATTTGTTCCTGTTTTGTTTTTTTACTTCAAAATAAGATATGTGCAGTGCGCATAGGTATTTGTTCATAGTTTTTTTTAAAACTATAGTCCGGCCCTCCAACGGTCTGAGGGACAGTGAACTGGTCCCCTATTTAAAAAGTTTGAGAACCCCTGGGTTAGGCCGCCGTGGTCGGCAAACCGCGGCTCGTGAGCCACATGCGGCTCTTCAAGGGGCCAAAGAGCCTCATGTGGCTCGCGAGCCGCAGTTTGCTGACCACTGGGTTAGGGGAGTTTTAAAATTTTTGTTTAAGGAGAGGCTTGACTACAATATATAGATTGTAGGGAAGAGTATAATCTGGAGTAAAGGGTTAAAAATATTAGCTGATTGAGGAAGCAAAGGCCTTGATAGCTCCAGGCCCAGGGGGAGGGGTCAGCGCTGGACTTGCGGGATGGATGCTGCTACTGAGACCCAAATGAGGTGCAGGTGGGTGACAGTCAGCCTGAGGGTGCGGGTGTTGAACCTGAGGTTCTTTCTTGATGAGCTGTCCTTCCTCTTGGTGCGGAAGTTGACACTCTGGAGGAGGAGGTGGAATGCGAGAGGAGGTTGGGAGAGTTGCTCTGGGAACCAGGAAAGGGAGCAGCCTGGGGATGGGGGAGAGACGGTCGAGTGGCCCCGTGGGTTGTGGGCTCCAGGCGGCATGTGGTAGGATGTCTTTTTCTGGCAGGCTGGCCAAGACAGCAGCAGCAAAGGGAGGTCGCGATAACTGAAAATGGGCTCTCGGGAATAGGGGAAGTAGGGTGTCCTGGGGGTCCTGTGGCAGGCCCCACCCCCCACTAGCCTGTCTGTCTCGGTGGCTGCGAGGACATGGCCAGTCTGTGCTGTGTGGTAGCCGATGCTTGTGCCGCTGACCCCGAGTCACCTGAGAGATGCGTATCACGTCCACGGCCTCTGTGTAAGGGGGAAGGAAGTTAGCACTAAGACGGTGAAGAAAACTTCCTTCCAGAATGATAAAAAGCTCCGGAGATCACAGCTTCATTTAGGCCCTTGTTGGGGCGACGTTAAGAGTTGTTCCTTGGGAGGAACCAGCATTCTCTGTCGAGAGCAGGACCCCGGGCTGTTCTCACTGCTCAGTCACAGTTGCTGCAGGAGGCAGGCACGAGGGTCACAACATGCAGGAACTCTCTGTCCCTCGCCTCCGCTTCGCAGGGAGGATGAGCATGCTCCTCGGGCCCCCTCCTCACGGAGCTCGGTGTCTCATGGTCAGATTCTTGTCCTTCCCTATCCTTGAGTTCTGGGTTGTGCTTTTGTCCTAAAAGCCGTTTTCATGCCCGTGACCTCATTTTCTCTTCTGAGCGCCTGTAGGGCGGCTTGAGTGCATGGCCGTCAGCACAGGGACTAGGGGGAGGGGCAGAGAATCTCGCTGGGGCCTCACGGGCTTGTCTGTCTGGCTTCCAGCAACGGTCCACGGTGGCCTCCATGATGCATCGTCAGGAGACGGTGGAGTGCTTGCGCAAGTTCAATGCCCGGAGAAAACTGAAGGTGAGTCTTGCCTTCCGGGCCCCCGGCGCCCTGAAACCGTACCTTTGACAGTGTACCCCCTGCCCCATCACAGAAGGAAGCTCTCCTCCTGGCTGGAGCTGAGCTGTGAAAGCTGCACCTGGTGGGAGTCCTGAGAGACCTGATGTCTTCAGGCTCCAGCCAGCGGCTGCCCTCTGCCTGGGACCAGGCACCCCTTTCCCGGGGTCCGGTTGGGTTCACAGGACACTCTTCTTTCCCCAGGGTGCCATCCTCACGACCATGCTTGTCTCCAGGAACTTCTCAGGTATGTTTCCCCAGCCGGGCACTCTGATTCCACTGAGGTGAGTGGGTCAGAACAGGGCGTCGCCGTGTGCTGCCGTCCTAGTGCTGGTGTCTCGGCCACCCCTGGACCAAGATGACGAGGACCCTGCTGCTGCTGCTGCTGCTGGGCCCTGGGACCCGGTATCCGGGGGCTTTCCTCGGATTCGGGTTTATGAGCTCTGTTCCCTGGAACCACCCAGGGAGCAGCCTGCCCGGCCTCCCTCCCATTTACCTGGTCCCTGGGAATTCTGATTTCATTCTCTGAAGAACTGGCAGCACTCTGAAGGTTTTAGCCCCTCTCTAGGGTGTTGGAGGATGTGCCGGGGGAGGCCGAGATGAGAGGTAGGGAGGCTGCTCAGTCGCCTCCAGTAATTCGCAGATTTGGGGACGCTCTCTACTCCATTGTGTCCAAGTAGAGGTGACTGGTGGACATTCCTCCAGATGCGTGAGCCTTTTCAGCAGCGGTGCTTAGAATGTTCTCTGTGATATTAGCTGTGAAAGTGAAGAAACAGAGACTAGCAGGGTGGAGGGGGAGGCACTTGCTTAAATTTGCATGAGGAATGAGGGAAGTGGGGACCAGTGCTTTGTAAATCACACTTGACATTTCTTTTTAAGATGCAAGACACTCCGCCTCCTCCCCACCCAGCCCCCACCCCCACCCCGTCATTGTTTGCCCTCAGCTGGGAACCACAGTGGCTTTTCTGTGAGAAAAAGATTCATGTCAGGACTCCCTGAAGACAGAAGTTCTCTTCTCTGCTTGCCCTTTTCCCTGCTCTCCCCTCCCCCTGACCCCGGACCCACTGCTTTGGTTCAAGACGCCCTGCTCTCAGTCTTGCAACAGGATCCGCCCCCTTGCTTTCCTTCTGCACTGCCATGGACAGGGTTGGCGGGGAGGCTCGCACAGTCGCCACGCTGGGCAGAGGTTGCTCCCTCGAGCCTGAGTCCTGGTGGGCTCGTCCGTGTTGGTTCCGGGCAACCTGAACCCCTGGCTCTGAGGAAGCCACAGGGCATGGGGCCTCCAGAGCCGTAGCCCGAGTGAGAGCCACAGGGCCCTGGAGGTTCAGGACTGGAGAGTGAGCCAAGAGTGTCCCCCAGGCCGTCCCCTTGACCCTGGCTGGGGGCTCGTCCCTGTGTTGTGGACACCCACGTGGGCAAGTCTGTGGCCCTGGATCCACCACTCGCAGGTGGGAGCAGGAGGGCAAGTCCCACCGCGTGCCCCCAGTGCTGCTGCTAATTCCTCACAGCGTCTGCGTTCTTGGTTTAAGAGCCTTTTGTAGGACGCTCAAGGGCGTTTCTGCGTTGCGCCTAGAACGGTGATCCGTTCTCTCTCTGAGTGGAAGGAATGTGAAGACCGGCTGCTGGGAGATCTGTAGCATGTGCCCGGCCCCGTGGCCTCGGGCCTCTGCCTCTTTCCAGGAATCCGGTGGCCTGGCCTCAGGAGGTCGGTCTCTGTTAGAACAAAGCACCCCCGCTGAGCCCTAAAGCGCCGCCTGCCCTCGCTGCCGGCCTCCTCCGGCCTTTGCGTTCCCTTCGCCCTGGGCCAGAGGAGACCGACAGCTAAGACACTGCCAGGCTCGGGATGACCTTCCTGCCCCGACTCTGGGCAGGTGAGGGCAGGGCCCGTCTCAGGAGCCTGCAGACAGGTGTGTGCAGATGGAATCCAGAAGGAAGGTCGCCGGCGTGTTTCTTTAGGAACGAGCGAGGCTGTGTTCTGAGTAGATCCCAGACAGCGCGTAGGGTAGCCCGGAA